AGAAAGTGAAGAAACTGAAATTCTTATATATTGCTGACCAGAAGATAAAATAATATAGCCACATTAGGAATTATTTAACAGTCTCATGTGCTTTGAGTTAGATCTACTTCTTGGTTATTTACTCAAGAGATGTGAAAACGTGTGTTTACAAAAAGATGTGTACAAGAATGTTCCTAACAGCTTTATTCCTAAAGGCCAGTAATTGGAAAAAACCCAAATGTTCTTCAATTGGAGAATGGGTTAAGAAACTGACATATTATTTATCCATACAATGTAATAGACCACTTCAGCCATAATGTGGATGAATCACAAATGCATGATGTTGAATAAAAGAAACCAGACACGAAAGAATATATAGCATATGATTTAGTTTACATAGAGCTCCAAAATTGGCAAAATGAATACATGTTAATAGAGATAAGAAAAGCAGTTGCTTGGCATGACGATGGAGAGACCAGATTGACTGGGAAAGAATACAAAGCCCCTGTGTGGGGTGTTGGAATATTCTGTATCTTGATAAGGTGATGGTTACAAGGTATATATATTTTTATACACTACACACTTATGGTGTATTCATTTAAAAATATTACTATATGAGGCTATGATAATAGATGGATAAAGATATAATGTTGGAGAGCAGTCATGCATAGATCCTATATTTCAGTCTTGAACTAATGCTGTTATAAAACATTTAAATAGGAAGCATCCTGTAGATACGGGTTGGTAGGAAAAGTTTTGAGGATTAGCAAATGTAATCAAAGCTGATTTTAGAGAAATTTTTCTATGTAGAACTCTTCTGCTCAAACCCATTCAAAATCAAATAGCTTTTCTCTTTGCCTTTCTCTTACTGGGCTGGGAGGGGGAGATTGGGATCCCAGGGTTAAAACAAAAAACAGTTCTAAACATGTATTCTGGTGATGATTCCATAAACTGCACACTCTTGTCTTCTTAACTCTGTTGACAATAATGATAGAATTTAAAGCCCTTTTATAAAATATTTTGAAAATGTGGATTATCTCATTGACAGTGATCATAGCATTCAGGCATTTAAACATGGCGGCTGCAGATGAATACCTAAATAAATCTTAACATTTTTTCAGTCACAGATTGGATACTGAACAGTCAGAGATCAGGCAACTTGTTTTCAAGCATAGAATCACTCAATTGGATACATTAAAACTATCCAGAATAATAAATTCCTGTTAATATTGCCTGAAATAAATAAATTCAGCATGTTTAGTTTGACATTAATGTTTCCATCAAAATGATTATCTTGAATTAACTTCTTAATGCATTATTTTACTAATGTAGTACTTATCTACTCTATGCTCTTATATATTTAGTATTGCATTCATATAACCCCACATGTATTAGTCAGTGTTTTCTAGAGCAGCTGAACCAATAGGATATACAGCGTACCTTGTTTTATTGCACTTTGCTCTGTTGCACTTCTCAGACACTGCACTTTGTTTTTCACAAATGTAAGGGCGTGGCAACCTTGTGTCAAGCAAGTCTATCGGTGCCATTTTCCCAACAGCATGTGTTCACTCCATTAGCATTTTTTAGTAATAAAGTATTTTTTAAGTAAGGTATGTATTGTTTCTGGACATAATGCTATTGCCCATTTAATAGCCTACAGCATAGGTAAACATACTTCTATATGCACTGGAAAACCAAAAATATTCATGTGGCTTGCTCTGTTGTGATATTTGCTTTATTGCATTGGTCTGGAACGAAGCTCAACACCGTCACTGAGGGAGGCCTATATTGGGTATATAGAAAGAAATTTGTTATGAGGTGTTTGCCCATGTGACGATGGAGGCTGAGAAGTCCCAGCGTCTTCCATACGCAAGATGGAGGCCCGGGAAAGCCAGTGATGTAGTTTTCAGTCCAAATCCAAAATAAGTCGCAGGCTCAGTCTAAGTGCCTGAGAACTAGGGGATCTAACGTCTGAGGCAAGGAAAGGTAGATGTCCCAGCTTAAGCAGAGAGAGCAAATTTGCCTTTCCTCCACATTTTTTTTGTTGTTGTTCAGGCTTTCAGTGGGTTGGGTGGTGCCCGCCTGCCTTGGTGAGCATGGTCTTCTTTACTCAGTCTGCCATCTCAAATGCTAGTATCTTCTGGAAACACCCTCAATGGACACACCAAGAAATAATGTTTTACCAGCTATCTGGCCATCCATTAGCAAAGTCAGGTTGAAACATAAAATTAACTGTCACATGATATTTTTTAGAGTATTTATTACTATGTCCCTTCCTATTGCCAAACTCTTGAGTTGACCATAGCCTTATACTTAGTTTTATAGTTTTTCATGAGTTCTTCACTGTCCCCTCTTGAGCAGAATAGTTATGTTGTGCTTATCTTTCCACTTTAGTCCCTGGCCACCTCTTGTATCCTCTTTCTTAAAGAGAAAAAAAGGAGTACTGTTTTAGGATTTATTCTAAGAGCTTAATATGACTTACGTCATGTCATTTTTTCAATGCTCCTGTGAACTGTTGAGATTTGGGAGCACAATGAAGGTTCACAGCTGTTGGACACCTGAGTCTTTTTCAGACATTGTGTAGTCTGGCTCCCTGGGGCATGACCGATGTTAAGAGATTAGTCAGTTACCAAGAACTACGTTCAGTCGACACATGAATTTAGGGAAAAATAATACAGAATACAATGAAGGTGGAAAAGATAAGTGTTGGGTTACTCTTCCACAAGGGTGAGTGGCAGATTCTAGGGCCATAACGTCACTAAATGTTGACACAGGTAAGATTCTAGGAACTGTGATCTGTATAGTCTAGAACACTTACCAAATTTATTAGAAACTGCCTAATACATATTCATTCACTCAGCTTATTTATTTTTCTTTCATGCATATCTACTCACACCCATCAACACAGAAGTATGTAGTATGTTGAATACCAATTTTCCCAATTTCTCAGAATTTCAGCTGACAGTACAAAGCTGAAGACATAAGAGTACAGGTAGTTTTATATTCACATGTGAAAGGGGGAAAATTAACATTTTCTGAGTCCTTTGTATGAGCCAGGTATCTCGCATATGTTATTTCATGTAGTCCTTTCAGAAATCCTAAATGGTATTGTTATCTCCAATTTACACCTGAGAAAACTGACATTCAGTTGGGTTAAGCGACTTGCTGAAGGTTCAAGCCAGATTGGAAGCTAGATCTGACAAAATCCAAAGTCTATGTCCTACTATCTATACAGGATGCTGCATCCCCAAAACAAGCATACATCTTCTGAGGAATCTGTCCTTTTGGGTGAGAACAGCCACCTCTCTGTGTAGCTGTGTCATGTTGGGAATGTGCACTTTATGATATCTACCACCAAATAGTTTTGATTTTCATGGGGAGTGCATCAGGAGGAAGCTGGCTGAATGGTCTTGGGGAAATAATAGATGATATGTCAAAGCTCAGTACATATTTTAGTTCATCAGTCCTAAACAAAACACTCATTATAAATCCAATGACAGTATATCTTTATCTTAATAGATGACATCATTTTCCAGAGATTTCCTTAATTAATACAATTATCCAATTGATGTAATGATATTAGCTTTATTGTCAGTGTTGTTATAGTCTACATTATGCAATGACAGAGTAATTTGAAAAGAAATATAGTTTTGTGAAAATAAGACTGATTACATGATTGTATTATTTTTATATGACATATTTAAAGAGTATAATATCATGTATAAGTAAAAACAAATTCAGGAGAAGAGTCAAGATATTTTGTATATTCCAAAGAACTGATATTAGCATCGAGGAAGCAAATAGTCTAAAATAATATCCAAAGCATCACCACACCTTTTTCTCTGAAAAACAAGATAAAAAAGCATTTTAATACAATTAGACTGTTTTGTGTAAAATTTCCTAGATATCTTATAAATGGCTTATTAAAGAAAGAGAATATTTTCACTGGTGTTGGTATACAACATAGAGCAAAGGTCATGAACTACTGAAATCTTTTTAGTATTTCTGATTAAATAACTTGAATTCCCTTACATTGTACAAAAGAGTACACTAACGAGACTTTCCTAAAAAGGTACTAATGCTATTTATTCTTGATTGTATTTTTATAAACTTTTTTTTATCTTGAGATACTGTGTATTCATTTTCCTAGAAGGAGGGATCAGAAGAGACTTATAAGAGCAGCAGGGAGGAGATTTCAAAAGACTTTGTCCTTTAGTCTTTCCTTCTGGTTATGTTGTTTGCTTTTTAATGTGTGTGTTTTACTCTTTGGTGCCATTCCTCGCCTACTCCTTCATCTAACTCCCACTGTAGCCTCATAGCCAACCAAGTGGATTCAGACAGGAAATTAATGAAGTTTAAGTTTGATATAAAAGTCACAGAACTTGAAATTTCCTTGTCATTGTGCAATTTCTTCATCATTTTGAGATTTTATTTTATTTCAAACTAATACAGATATATTGACATTATTACAATGTTTAGCATGCAAAGTGAAATGATGATTTGGAAGAACTGATTCTGTATAGAGTGTCTGTAGAATGTCTTTTATAATGAACCTATATTTAGTAGGTTATCAGCTTATCGTATAGGCAGACATGATGTTCAAAATTGAATTTTGATTTTAAAAATTGTTAAAGTCTGATAATTATTAATTTTGTAGATATTATATATAAGCAACAACATATTTTTCATAATTATTTTGGTAAAAACTCTTAGTTCCTCTGACGATTTTTTTCTTTTGTTTTGATTTAGGAATTATCATGGCACTTAATGCATGACTTTTGGCAAATACTTACCAAGAACACTGAATGATTAGGACATCTTATGGTTCTTTCAGTTTATCAGTCTTGGTCTGATGAGAAAAGAACATTCATAAGAAGCTCTCATTAAATTACAATTAAATTACATTTTGTTTGATAATCAAAAATAATTGTTGGTCACCTCACCTTATTCAGGGATAAGACCATATATTCTACCACATCATTAGTTGTCTTATTATTTCCATGACTAAGTCTTATAAATTAAGCACTAACTTTGTGTACTTTCCATTAGACAACAATTTCTTGCATAAAATGAATTTTGATTACCTTCTTTTCCAGGAGCTCTGGGGTCATAGTTGGGTCTACAGCAGAATTGAAAACTTTGGTTGTGCTGGGTTTTGGTGAAGTTGAAGGCATGAAAACTCCTTCATTGTTATACCTAATGTTTTTCACTTCTTTTTGTAAATATGGCACCACTCCAGCTGGCTATCAAGAATGAGAATGAAGGCAAAGTGGTTATAGGTTTAAGTAGAAGGTCAAAATTGGGAAGAATATAAAGCAACAGGATTGGAATGCAAAGCGAGCATTATATTCAAATAGTAAGTATCTTTATTATTTTTTTAGATCATAAGCTGATAGAATGACTATGAATATATACAAGCAAACACAATTGTCTCTTCATGCCTGCTTTTAAATAAAGGTGCATAGGAGAGTACCTGGGATAGGGTTCTAAAATATATCTGATGAACTGGGTGAATTGAATCTTGACTGGCAAATGATCATAGGAGAAAGAAGCAATACTTGTTGATGGAATCACAAAAGAGTTGGCATTAAAATGAACATTAGTGCAGGGACCTGTTAATTGTCACTTGTTGATTTCTAGTAGTTGGCAAATTGTTGTAAGGAATCTTACCATCACAGCTATTTCAGGAGCTATGCCTAGGATGGGGTCAAAAGCTACTTGCTGCTGTCCTCCTGGGATAGCCTAAAAAAAAATTTTTTTAGAATTCTAAATTAGTGATATGTAAAAATATGCTCTTTGACCACCCAAGGGAGTTAAGCATTCCTCAACTTAAGTAACTTAAGTTTTAGATTTGAAAAAGAGTGAAGCAATTCCTACTATTACAGAATCTGCTTGACACTCAGCTCTCTGTCAGTCCCGGTAGCTCTGTTTGCTAATGTTCTCCGCTAGGCCCTGGTGTTCTCCTGCTGAGCATAAACAATTCTACAGAACACTAACATCAGACAAAATTAGAAAAAAAACAAGACAACATCATAATCTTGTCTAAAGTAAGGCCACCGTGCAAGTCACAAAAACACCAACCACCTTCATATCCTGGCTAATACAAGTGACTGCTGCTTCTTTTCCAAGGGCATCTTTTGACTTGTGCCATTATCCTGGCCTCCTAGGTGAGAATTCTTAAGATACTTGATCACAGAACTACCCCCACTTCTTAAGAACACTGCAGAATACCTTCCTATTAAGACACCCCATGGCTTTTCATGTGTGTTCTCCTCTTTGTAATGAGTAAATAAATCCAACTTTGTTCAGTTAGAGGTGTGGTCCTGGTGACCTTTAGCTGAAGGGGGGCATTTACAGATTTAATTGACAATGAAGAAATACTTTCAAAGGATTTTTTAAATGAAAATTATGCATTTACTCACAGGTTCTGCTTGTTGTGGAATGCGTCCAAGTTGAGTATAGAATGGTATCTGTCAGATTTTTGAAAAACACGTAAATTGACTCTGATGATTTTTGTCATAAGTTTGTGATAATTGGTTACTTAAACTTATATATATTTTTATTATATATTAATTAAATGCTTTTTAATTTTTTCATCTGTTCTCATTTGTAAGGATTAATTTATTGTTAAATTAATAATACCATATCATTTCTAGGATAAAACTCTCTTTCCCTTTAAAGCAACATGGCTTACTTAGCATTAATAATACTAGCTATTTAGGGGATAATTTTGAGTTTTCTCTAATTTACCATGGCAGGTTTTAGAGTGATGATTAAACTATTTAAAAAAGACATTTTCATTCTATCAAAAACAATGCTAAGTTATGTATGAGCCACCTGAATTTTTATATTCTAAAAATTTATTGCAGGTATCTTTCATCAGGTAGCTATTATTTTTTGCTTTTTATTATTTTTTTAACCACCACCACACACACACACACACAGATATCTATGTAAAGGTGGATGCTAATACATTTTAAATGTGAGAAACCTTCATTTTCCAACGTGATTCAGCTTTTGGTCTCTGATTTTATCAGAGTCTTCTTACTGATGATAGCATTTCAAATCCAGCCTTGGAAATAATACTTTGGATTTGAAAAAGAGTAAAGCAATTCCCGCCATCACAGAGCTTGTTTTGACACTCAGCTCCCCATCAGCTCTGCCTGCTCTGCGCCCAGCGTTCTCTGCCAGGCCCTGGCGTTCTCCTGCTGAGCTGAACAAGCCACAGAACACCAGCAGAGCTGTCAAATGGCATAGAGGAGACAGCACCGTGCCCTCTTCCTCCTACCAGTTCATTCAATGTACTCAGATGCTCTTTTCGCTGGGAGTTCACCTTATTCTCTCTATGCTGAGGTGGAACTAGTCAGATTAAAATCAAACATTTGTGGTACCTGCTCCTCGTATAGTTGCTGCCCTGGCCGTGGAGGCGATGGGGTGACTGCTTGCTGAGGTTGTTCCCAGGGCAGGAGCATGTAAACTGGGTAGTACTGAGACATCTATGTGTAAAAAGAGAATTGTGCAAGAGAGTCCATTAGATCAGCACAGGCTATACTTTTTTTATCTTTTAATGTCAATATTATATTACAGCTGTTTTATATCTAGAAGCTTTACATGATTCAATATGGAATCATGGAAAGGAATGGAAAAGGAATGGATGCAGCAGGAATGGATGCAGCAGGAATGGATGCAGCAGGAATGGATGCAGCAGGAATGGATGCAGCAGTCCTTCCCAAACTTTAAAAACAACTTGTATTCCACATGTTACTGGACTTTGCTTCCTACCCTTCCTCCCTTCCTCCCTCTCTTTCTACCTCCCCCACTTTCTCTCTTTCTCCCTTTCTTTCCTTCTTCTTCTTCTTTTTTTTTTTTTTTCTTTTTTAAGATGCAGTCATGCTATGTTGCCCAGGCTGGCCTTGAACTTTTGGCCTCAAGTGATCCTTTCACCTCTGCCTCCCCAGTCACTGGGACTATAAGCATGTGTACCACAGCACCCGGCTGCCTGGCTCCATTCTGATTCATTAGGCATGGGGTTAGGTTCAGGCATATGTGATTTTCATAACAACCAACAAAGATTCTAATATAAAGCCAGGGTGGAGAGTCACTGGTTTAGTGGTTAGAGAGAGAGGTGTAAGGGGTGGAGAATTATATTCCAACTCAGCTATTTGCTTTTAGAGGGATTGAGATTTTGATCTCATTAAGACTACGTTTCCTAATCCTTAAAATGAAGTAATTCTGTTTGTCATATATCTAATTCTCGAAATGCTTATGTTATAGAATGAGATAATGTCTAGAAGTAACTTTTGTAATACGAGTGGAAGTGGAACAAAATTATATAATTATAATTACAGGAGAGCTGAGTGGTATAACTTCTTGTAAAAAAAAAGGTCAATGCTCTGCTGAAGAACAGTATAGTTTAGCTATAGCCCTGTTTCTTTGAACCCAGGATATTATAAAATTAATTATCTTAACATTGATAGTTTTTCATATTAATGTAATGATTCTATTAGTTTGCATTTTTTAAAGATGCTCTTAATGGAAACCACCATCATTTAATTGTAACATGGAGTTAAATCAGAAACAAATAAAGAACTGGAAATGTTTTGAGCAGAACTTCATAACTGCCAATTGATATGGGGAAGTGTTTCTTCTCTCTACATCACATTTTATCAGTTCAATATATCTCCGTCTGAAACAAAATTTAGGATTGGGTAAAGTCAGCCCATGGGATTTCTCTTGAATTGTTCCTAACTGCCAGTGCTTTAGATTCAGAGAAGACATGATCTGGGGCTTAATGGGCTCCTTTACTTCCAACATAGCAACACCTTGAAAATTCAGGGGTCCTGGAGAGACTCCTTAGCTGCCTGTTCTTAAGGATCAACAGCAACAAACTGATGCCAGCCCAGAAATAATGTTATCTAGACAGTGATACCATTGTTGGGATTTTGTAGCCCTGCTGTAGGAGTCAGAGCCAGAAATATAAAAGAAATCATTCTGAAAGTGTATGCAGCCCACTGCCTGTGAGCAGTGGTATTCCAGTCATTACCTGTGCTTGCTCTTGAGGCATTTTGAAGGAGAATACATAGGGCACCGCCTGTCAAAAAAAGAATCATATAAAAAAAGTTATGCCTTGTTACTTAAAATTCCTGAGCTGCTTTCAAAGAGCTTATTCTATAAATTTATCATTTTTATTATCAGGCTCTTATAACAAAATGTCATCTATTATATGCACAATCATTAACACAAATCGCCTTATTTAAAGATGAAATTTCCCTAATTATCCTGTCCCAGACTTGTTTTAACTCCTTCAATTTGTGGCTGTATCCTAGAATAGCTGATTTAAATGACATTTTTCATGTTCGAAATGAGAAAATATAAAGAAATATAATACTTTCAGTGATGGTAGAAACATGAGAAGAAAAGTTTTGTTCAAAAGCTGCTGCCTGTTTCAAAGATGATTCATATTTATTTTTACGTTCCACGTGCAGTTCTCTGTCCTTAGGATGAGATGAAAGGAGCCTCACTCACCTGATTAGGGCCTTGCTGTGTGGGTGGTGCTGTTTGGGGCTGGGAAGGGTCCAGCTGGCCTGCCGGGGCTCCTTGGGCAAAACCGGCCTGTCCTGGGAAAGGTATCTGATTGGGGAACAGTCTAGCAAACTGGTCTACAGGTGGTAAATAGAATGGGGAGAGTTCCGGAATTTGAGCCTGAATTTGCTGTGGTTGTAGAATCCCAGAGAAAGGAGGAATCCATGAATTAAATGGGCCCTGGAAGGACACACGAGAAAGAAAGTAAACATTTGTCTTTTATGCCAAAGAGAATTTCACATCAGTCTTGAGCAGGAAAGAGATAAAATGTAAGCAATCTATACTTCCAGCATTGCATTATAAAAACAGCATCTTGGACTCATGATAAACCACACAAATAATATGAAACAATGCTAAATTCCCAAGTGTCATGAGAAATATGGGGCAGAATGAGACTGATAAAAAAGCACAATGTCTGTATTGGCCAGACTGGTTTCAAATCTGTGTGCCCCCCCCCCATCCCAGTGGTTAGCTGGATATCACTTTGTGTAAAATAGTTAATTTACTTTCATATGGTTGTGAGAATTAGTGCCTGGCAGATACCAAGTTCTCAACAAATAAATGTAAATCAAATTATAGTTCGTACTTTAATCTTCAAACAAATGGTCATTAGAATATATGGGACAAATTTGTGACTTTAAAACTTGAGATTTCAGAAATGGAATCCAGAAATATTTTGTTCTTGTACAAAATACTATCACAAATGAGCAGCAGGAAAATGATCTCCATAAAGTGATTATTGAGGCGGAGGTACCTGAAGCTGCAGTGGAACAAGCTGAGCATTATTAAGATTCATAAGTAACTAGAAAAGGAAAGATAATAGGAAAATGAGATTACTACACATGCTAAAATGATTAAGAGTAATGTTTGCTGCAAACACAGAACAAGTAAGAGCTGATTAATCAGTTTCCTGTTAGAAGTGAGACATTTTCTCACCAAACTTACATTAAATTACAGTGATTAGAAGTTAGAATTTAAAATAAGGTTGGGATTTAACAATCTCTCCCTGCTACGTGTGAGATTGCACAATGTTTGACCATTCTGGTGGTTTAGTCATTTTATGCTTTTTAAACACCTATATACACTTGTATTAGATACTATTAGAACAAAAAGATATAGAAGATGTTTAATTTTTTGTTGCGGTATTTCTATTTGCAATTTCTATATTCTAATTTCTGTATACAATTAGACAAGGGAGGCAGACTATTTCAGAGGTGACCTGGTATACAAAGCAAACATGAACATTGGAAATGTGTTCTGATACATATAAGAGCTAGTGAGTTCAGGGTAGGTCAAGTGAAGAGACTTTTATCTCTTCCCTATGGGTTTCCATTAAAAAAAAAGAGAACATTTTAACTATTCAAACTAACCTCACGGCTGTTGCTTGCAGACAAAAGGTTCTGTGGGATAAGCTAAAAGCAAAAAAGGAAAAAAAAAACAACAGATAAAACAAGGGATTGTTACAGGTTTTATACGATGAGATCAGCGGTACCATGAAATCACTTACCGGGGCTGACAATGTGGCTCCCAGAAGTCCAAGAAGAATTATAATTTTCATTTTCAGATGATATACCTAGAAAATAAGTTGGTGATATTGAGTATGAAGACTCTGCTTCAAAATCATGACAAAAGTATTGTTCAATCAGAGGAGTAGTTGAATTCTATAGTATTTATTTATATTTTAGAATTTAAAATTTAGAAAGTTATAAATCTTTATAATAGAACTCATCCTTTTCTCTCAGAGCAGATGTTTATAAAAACCAAAATTGTTTGCTTGTCCTTTCAACTTGACCGAAAGACTCATTGGGTGAATATGACACAGCTGAGCGCGTTAATGAGCAAGATCGTCGCATCCTTGTGCTGCTCTGCGTGGAAGGAAGTAGGTAGGCCCTTCCTACCATGGGAGGCCATGACTGGGCCAACCACCTGGGGCCTTATTATTAAAACAGTTTTAATGTCTATGTTGAAAAAGAAAGTACTACAATAAAGATTTGACAAACCAGTAACAGATAATTTCCACTTAAAAGTCTAATAATGGTAAAAATATATTAACAATACTCTGAGTCAAATTTTTCTTATTTAGGGAGATAGATTATAGAAATAAAACTATAATATTGATGTATATTATTAGCTGTGGAAATATATTATCTCTTACACTCTAGATATGAAAGTTCCTTCCCTAGTTCAAATGACTGACCTAACCACACATTTGGGTTGACCTTGTTAGTCTATCCTGCAGAGTTGACTGATTTTGGTTCTTAAAATTATGAAAGCAAAGATTTGGTATCTTACCTTACACCTAGACCTATAAAGAGAAATCTAGAACCGTGAAAGTTCTGTATTCTTTTTCTCTCTCAGCCCTGCTGCTTGGAGCTTCTCTTAAATTTTAAAACCCATCTTTAGAAAAAAAGAACCAATCATTTTTTAAAGGGATCAGTGATTCAGTGGGTTTCAGACAATGGCTTAGCTAATAACCCCTTTCCTAATCATCTTGGTGTTATATGGATTCCCACACTTTTAGTAATGTTATTAAATTATCCCCTGAGAAATGTTTTTCTCTGGTGATTTCTGGTTTCTGCTTTGGTTATGACTAATTCTTCTGGAATAATTTTATTCTATTCCTCCTTTTATCATCTTTAAAGTGGATACCCTAGTTAAGTAACCTTAAAAGCCTTTTCTAAATTTAAGGATACATGGGTGATTATTTTTATTTCAAAAGTAAAATACAGAATTATTAGACAGAAGGCGTAGGTCTAAAAAACAAAACTTCAATACCTAGGTAGTGGCAATAAATAGTGTTCTTTTGTTCTTCAACACAGTGCTGAGTAAGTGTAAGCTAGTTTCATTTGGGTTTGACCTTGAAAATGCTAGTAGATCTCTTTCTACCTCTGGAATGAAATCCTTTAAAAATTGCTAAATTTATATATACCTGTGAAATACATTCCTATATGATCATATTCTTGGAATAAATGAGGAGGCATGATGGCCTACATTTTCTTTTTTCTTTTCTTTCTTCCTTTCATTTCATCATATTATCGGGGTACAAATATTGTTAGGGTTACAAATATTGCCCCCTGCACCAATGGCCTACATTTTAAAAAGTAGTTGTGAATGTATGTTTTGTATTTTAAAAATTCTCTTTTAATAAATATGACTTCATCATTCAAAATACAGCTAAGTATTAATGTCTGTACATCATCGTTATTCAAATTGCCTTCATATAGGGAGTTTTGTGTTTATCTTGTGGTTTTTTGTTCATTTTATTTTGGTGAATGTTGTTAATATTGACTCCACTCTAATAGGTAGTCCAGGATCATAAGTGTTATGATAATGTATTATCAATTAATTTTCAGTAAGGAAGAGTTCTTTAGCTAATTTAATTTTCAATAACTGATGGTAGCCTTATCATGCAGAAAAACAAAGCTGTTGGCTTTTAACAAATTTGTCTTTTTGTAATAGAATGAGACACTTGCTTGGCTCATAAATACTAAAGTGATTATACCCATTTGTTATTTGTCTAGTCAAAAAGCCCACAGTAGACAAACCATTAGTTAAAATAATAAGACCTTTTTCTTTATTAGAGAAAAGCAGCTATCACTAGAATTTGGTATCTGTTAGAAAGTGTGAAATTGAATTAAATTTGGCCTAAAGTTGCCTCTATACATATTTTAATGTTGGCCTAAAGGTTTCTCTGTACATAGTGAACTGTACCCTAACTTTATGTCAATACAGATTATAATCTACTCTTGTAATAAGAAGCTGAGTTTCAGCCAATCACAGGTGGCCAACTCTTCAACCCATGTTTGAATAGGGCGAACTCAGAGCTGTGACCAGTCCAGCTCTTTCTGTTACTCCACCTCCATTTTTCGTAGTCACTTTTCTTTTCCATTTTCCAAAAATGATATTTGAGCATGGGACAGCCCTGGCATTGCTGTGAACCTTCTCTCTTCTGGAGGCTGCCTGACCCACACATCTTCTTTGCTCAGTTGAACTCGGTTAAATTTATTTTTTTCTAAAGTTTTTCTTTTAACAAAAGAAGAAGACTTTCCTGAGATTTAAAAAAGATGTCTTTTTAGATTAGCTAAAAAATTAGACCCTCCCCCAGATGTTGGTGACAGATTTAACTAATGCATAAACTTAAAGGTAGTTAATGTAACCAGTTGTCGCCTAAAAAATGCAGATTGGTTGAGTGAGTGAACTAAGTGGAAGTTTCTAGACTGTTAATACAAATCAATCATTACAGTTAATGGCCTGGGTCTATTCTGAATATTGTCAAATTAAATTTAATATACCCCATAAGTTCTGATTCGCCTGAGATTTTTCTATGGCATTCTGGAGGGTCTTGGGCAGCCATTATTACATCAGAAAGTTGTCACAGCCAAGTACTGAAAAGGTCAGGGACAGTATTGCAGAGGCAAAACACAGACAGTTTAAAAATTATATTGATATTAAATAGTTTTGTCTAGCTACATTCCTCAAATATGAGGGTAGTTGGAAGACTTCTTTTCTTTTTGTTTTTATTTTCTGTTACTAGAAAATTTTAAAGAAAAATAGTTGAAACTCTCCAGTTACACAGCAGTTGAAGCTGAAAGAACAGGCAATGCTTTTACTATCTGATAGTTTCCAAGTCCCTGTGTCATTGGAGAAAAAGTTACCCCTGAGTGGGAAGGGAAGTAGCAAGGGGCTCATTCAGTTGTCATCACATCGTGGTGTGGCTACTGTATGTGTCTGTTTCTCGCATTCAACTATGTTGAACTTACTCATTTTTCTATCCCTGTATCAGTCACCCACTAGGTATTCCAATGACTTTTGTTAAATACATAGTTTGCTTCATTCAGGGGAGAAAAGTAGGTAGTATAGGTCCACAACAATGTCGTTCTGTATAGATTAAGGTGCAAGAACCCAAGATGAGGAAATCCTGAACCAGAGATTGACACTATAACTTTGTTATTTTGTTTTAGTTCAATTACCGGAATGCCAGATAACATTCTATTCAAGTAAAAGTACAAAAACACATTTCAATGCCAAGTACATATGACTGTTGCATTATGTGCCATTGAAATTATCCATATCTTTGCTCTGTCCCAATAACCTAATTGAAGTGAGCAAGCATGACTTATAAGTTTGTCCTTTCAAAATGTTACTTCTGCTTTTTTCCCCTTCAATTATCCTGAAAAATAAATTTTTTTTTCTGAATAATAAGAGTCTTACAGAGTGCCATTGTGAAGGAGACTAATATTCTGTGGGTAATGACAATTGAATTTAAATTTTATCATAGCTTATTATAAAATAATTTTCATGCATCTGAGCTCTAATTTCTCAGGAATTTCTAATGACATGCCAAGGAAGGCAAGATGCAGATATCATTCCATGTTTCAATGAAAAAACTGAAGTACAGGAGGTTCAATGACTTCATTCATTAATTTATTTATATAACAAATAGTTGTTGTCCGGTTTCTATAGCCCATGTCCTTGCTAGGAATTCAGAACTTAGTGCTAGTAATAATAGATGTGGTTTCTGCCTTCATGGAATTTATGGTATTTTCGCACTGTCAAGAAGTTACCAAACTTGTGATTAGAATTCAGGTCTTTTGATTCCAAACTAAGTAGTCCTTTCTAAGGCACCCAGATGCCTAACTACAAGAGAGAGAAATAGTACTATAATAAAGGTAATTAACAGATAAAATATAGGAATGTTTACTTTGAACTCTCATGAGACTTTACTAAAGTGTCCCTTTCTGTTTGATACTGTACGTTAATAGAAATTAATCATTATATGTCCATATGACAATACATTCTCGCTTAATGGCTCTAGTTTGATTATGTAAGTCTAATCATATTTAAGATTTGTAAGTATATGTACATGCAAATTATGACAATAAAGTATAATTTCCAAAGGTAGTGTGTTTAGGTATAGAGGAGTTAAAAAAATAAAGTAATATACCTCTTCTTTTTACAGAAGATCCATGCGTTTCAGAGTAGTTGAGTGAGACCAGCATGGAACTGAGCTTGGGCTGGACACTGTCAACTAGCTGCGAGTCCCTGCGGTGTGGCACACAGAGCATGCAGTGGGAGACCACCCTCTCAAATGCTGGCCTGGGAATAAATCAACATCTACTTTCTCTGAAAATAGTTGCTTTTGTCCCCTGACCCCAATTTTTTTTTTCTCTGCTGAACCTTCATAGTATTTGTTTTGCCCTTTGCTTTGTGCATTCTGTATCTGCCCTGCTAATGACTCCTGCATTTGTTTCTTTGTTTTGGGCCTGCAACCAGTTTGTCCTCAACCCAGTTTTTGTACTACAACTTTCTGGAAAAGAAAAACAAAACAATAAACAACTGCATTTTAACCAAAGTCTTATAGTTCTAGTAAGTTGATTTAAGATTGGTGCTCTTGAGGGAAGAAGTGCACAATGTTTGGCCAATATCTGGATTTCTCTTCCTTCTGAAACTTCTAGCCCAGCCCATGCTGTTGTCATGGGACTGTCTGGTGAGTGCCCCAGTCAGGCAGAGCAGTGCCCCATGCCCTTCTGCCTTAGCCTTCCTTGGAATTCTGGTGATTTTTTTACATCCCATTGTGTTATGTTAAAAGCTTGTCTCCTTAAGATGTTATGCTTTCTGATAGTAGTGGTATTTTATTCTATTGCTCAATAAAAATTTCTGTCTTGTCTTTCTAATTTCCCCCATCCTTTTTCCTTCCCTTCTCCTTTTCATTTACTCTTTTTTTTTACAATTATTTTTAAATTTCAGAACAGTATGGGGGCATGAACATTTTGGTTGCATATATTGCCTTTGCACCACCCTAGCCGGAGCTACAAGTGTACCCATCCCCCAGTCAGTGAGCTCCACGCCCATTAGTTGTGAATTTACCCATCCAGTCCACTCCCCTCCCACCTGCCCAGTACCCGATGAATACTACTTCCATCTGTGCACATACGTGTTCAGTTAGTACCAATTTGACAGTGAGTACCTGTGGTGCTTATTTTTCCATTCTTTACTGTAAAAATGGGAATAACCTCTTAGAATGGATGAGAAGATTCACATTCTGGGCACATAATAAGCACTGGATGTTAATTACATTAGATGTTAGACTATAAGCACCTTGACCATGTCTAGGGCCTGGAACAAGTTAAATATTTATTTGTTTAATGAATGCATGAAGCAGAACACACAGAAGTACCCATTCTTATAAAGGCCAGCACAGTAAACTGGTATGCATTTAGTGCATAAAAAGAAAATAGAAAAGCAAAGAGCCAATGTAATATTACAAATAGAAGATCCACAGAGCACTAGGGTAGAGGTAGGCCTTGAGCCACAATTAAGTATGGATTAGCCCTTTCATTAAAAATATTCTTGAAAAAAATACAAATATATATAATCAATGTCTCTTGGTTTCTGGGTTTTCTGAAGCTTACCTTAGATTGCTAGGGAATTTTCTAAGACAAAGGTACTAAGCTAGATGATTTAGTTCTGCTTCTCCAAAAGCCTTAAAAAATTCACTGTATTTAATATGATGAAATAGATCCAGGACGGTTCCAATCTACAGCTTAAGTGTCTGCAGCTCAGATTAACAACCATGAAGGTCATCTAATAATAGTGCCTATTGTTCAGGTCACATTTCAGTGAAAGACGTTTGATTTCCTCTATTCTTTTTCCAAGAATTTTTTCCATCTGCGAAAACAATCACTTAAGGCAACATAAGCCAAGAACTAATAAACCAGTGCCACAGACAACTTTCCTCACCAGGATTGCTTCCAGAAATATAGAAACTCTGTGAAATCTCCAGTATTGTATTTTTATAAAGTATCTGTTTCATTGGATATTCAGATTCTGTAGCCTATTTCATTTTTAATTTATCAATTTCTGTTTTATTCAAATAAGAATTTCCTGTGATTTCTGATAAATTCTGATAAATGATGATATTACTTGCAAAGAGTCCTACTTTCTTTTTGAAATGAAATTCATGACTACATTGGATACCTTGTCACATTTTTAAACCTAGGTACTATTTTCTTTCAGAGCATATTCTTGCTCTTCCGTTCTCTCTCTTTCCATATGTAGATATGTATCTCAGACATGCAGGCAAGTATTTACACACTCCTGTGAAACATCACACTCGCCACCTTTTTTCTGAATGCTGATGTTGGTTAGAACAGAAATAATATATTGCTTATCTAACACATAGGTAGTGTCAGGTATTATACACTAAGTGCTTTGACATAGATCAGCTCAATTGCATTAATGCTCACCACAACCTTCATTTTAGGTATGAGTTTGATATTCTCATTTTATGGGCAAGGAACATGGTTCCCTGAGATTAAATAGTATTCCCAAGGTTATGTGGTTAATGAGTTTCTGGGCCAAGATCTGAACTGAAGTCTGCATAGCTCTAAAATCCTCTTCTTGACGATGGTACTATACTGAAACAAGTAATTTTAAAAGACCTGTAACCTTCATATTTATGTTTTCATGTATGTCACATTTTTTTCTTTTTAATTTCACTCAGTGAGTCGAATGGTGCTCTGTCATGGATCTGATAGACATGAACCTACATTTTTATAAATGTGTTTTTCTTCTTTTGTACCCTCTTGTAATATTCATGCATAAAAGTCGATGAAATTTAACCTCAATTAATAATTTATAATATAATTAAAATCTTTCTGTTGTGATGCCTATTTTATAATATCTTATAAAATATCATTTTCTTATGCTTTCATTCACCAGGCAAAAATGTAAAGAAATAGTCTCCTGGAAATAAATCAATTAAAAGTGCTACAAAATAGATTCTAAAACAGAAAATATGAATGGATGAAAAAGATTTTTGAGAAAGATTCACTAATTTGGCAACTCTTCTCTATAAAGGAGACTAAAGTAGTCCATGAATAAACATTATGTAATGATTTGCAAGATGTCTGAGGATGGATTATCTGTCTAAGCTCAGACTTTGAATAAGTATTAGGTTGGTTGAAATGACTCTTAAAAACCACAGTGAATAAATGATTAGTGGGAAACAATTTTAAGGCAGTATGATCTGTTTGGTTGCAAGGACAGCAGAAGTAGCCTAACTACGTGGGCACTTTCTTCAGTAATTTCTCAACCAGATTTCTCTGGAGTGCAAAATTTTCTGAGTAGTCACGTTAATTATTTGCCCCAGTGAATCATGCATATTATTGGGTTTTCTTATTTTTGAAACCAGCCATTTGCCTTTGCTTAGGGCATTCACACAAATTCCAAGCCCAGGATGTCACCAAAAGTAGAAATAAACAAACAGAATCTCTATTCTACGGATTTTTGAAGACATTCAATAATTCTCTGTAAAAAAAATGTCTGTAAAGGAGTATAAAATCACTTTATCTTGGATGACAGCAATAAAGTTCCTAGTTGTATATTTCATAGGTACTTCAGAGAAACTAACTTTTAGATTCAAGGATTAGATGAGAAGATAAAAATTGTTTTCACACAGGAGGATACAGTTTGATTCCAAAAAGGAATGGTCGTAAAGACTTGGCCTGGGTCTAAGTGTGCACATTTAGGAGAATGTGCTTTAGAAATTTCTGGCAGTCCCATCGTGATAGTAGGAAACTTGGCAGAAGCGTTTCCTAGAAAACAAACACATTGCTCTTTTCCTTTAAATGTCAAAAACATCAAAGAACTTAAGGACATGTTCTCCCCAACGACGCGTGCGGGACTGGGAATATCTCTGAGTGTGTGACCACCATGTAACACCGGGCCATCATAGACACTAGACTGGCAAAGACAACAGCTGTTCATGAAGTATGATTTCAGCAACATTTGCGAGTTTTAAACCATCATCTACATAAGTGGTAATGCCTGAAATTTATGACTTATCAATGTTCTTTGGATAAAAAAGTTGTTAGGAGAGAATCCCTGATGAAATGGTATGGTGATTCATTACCACTTTAGCTCCCATTGATGCACGAATATGATAAGTTTTTATATAAACACTTTACATCTGCCTGCATTTATTGTGTAGATGGCATGTGGATAGCCTGGCTTCACCATCAAAGAATCTTACATTTGAACTTCATTTTAGGTACTTGCTAATCATGTAACTCTGGGCAAGTTAAACTACTCTGGACCTATTGCCTTCCCTGTAAAATGGGGCAAATTATATACTTATCTTCAGGATATCTACAGAAAGTAAATGCCACCAAATGGGAAAACGCATTGCTCAACACATTAATGATTCTCAATAAACTGTTTTTGAGGAAACAACACACCTTAATCTTCCAGGGAGAAGTCTCTAAGAGATGGAGTTTGAAAGAGCTACCGAAACTGATTCACCTATATGGGATCCTCCACGCTAATCTAAAATCACCAGGTTGCATTGAAAAATTACTTAGATAAAAGAGTTAGCTTTATCACTAGAGAAAAAGGAGCTACCACCCATGTGCCTGCTCTCTCGTGCTCTCACATTTCTTTTTGTCAAATCTTTCCTGCTTCTTGTAGATATTCATTTTGCTAAATCTTGAGATCCCTTATTAGAGTGTAGATGACTTTTTTCCTTCAACAAAAAGACATCTGCACTTAAATGTTTATGGTAGTACAATTCCCAGTTGCAAAGAAGTGGAAACAACCCAAGTGCCCATCAATACAGGAGTGGATTAATAAAATGCGGTATATGTATACCATGGAGTACTATTCAGATATAAGAAACAATGGTTGATCTAGCACCTCTTGTATATTCCTGGATAGAGCTGGAACCCATTTTACTAAGTGACATATCCCAAGAACGGAAAAATAAAGCACCACATGTACTCACCAGCAAATTGGTTTTACTGATCAACACCTAAGTGGACATATAGGAATAACATTCAATGGGTGTCGGGCAGATGGGAGGGGGGAGGAGAGCATGGGTATACACATACATAACGAGTGTATGCGCACCATCTGGGGGATGGACAAGCTTGAAGCTCTGACTCGAGGGGGGATGGGAGACAAGGGCAACATACGTAACCTAAACATTTGTACCCCCATACTATGCTGAAATAAAAAAAAAATTATGCACTGAGTATTAGCAATGATCCAGAAACACTGCACTCAGAGCACTTGCAGTTTAATAAGTGAGTATTCTGCATGAACAAATGAGCGCGACACCCTGGGGTGGGGACGGAAGGGAGGGATGATGGTGGGTGTGTGGATCAGGGATGGAGTGACCTGATAAAACTTTACAGAGCAGAAAAGCCCTGAGCTAGGCCAAGAAGGAGAAGTAGGATTCTAGCAGGCAGACATCAGTGGAGAGAAAATTCCAAGCAGAGAGTACATCATGTGCAAATACACAGGGCATGACATAGCTTGATATTCTGGGGGATAATTACTGATCCCAGATAATTG